TCCACCCACGACCCCACCATGGGGTGAGGTGACCCCACCCACCCTGGTGACCCAGAATCCATCTGGTGTCACCAACTATGGCGTCTCCCACTCCTTGCAGAGCCACCACCGGCCACCGCCGATGACCCAACGGTTGACGTCGCCACCACCGCGCCGGCGCCACCATGACCCATCCAGCTTCTCCTCTTTATTCCTCCCATCTTTGTCCCCCCTCCACCTTCTCCAACAGGAGGAGGTTGGAGACACCAACCACAGTGGAAGAACATCCCTCCAGCCCAACTCTGGGCCAAAACCCAGCGCTGGTGGCAACCAAGGGGGGGGGTGTTGGCTTCTTTGGGGAGGTTCAAAAGGTGGTGGAGGATCTTCTCCATGCTGAGAAGCTCCTGGAGACAACCAGCTGGGCCTTGAGTTTTGGGGTCATTCGGGAAGATTTAGGTGCAAATAAATATTCTCTCGACGCTGGGAGGAGAACATCAACCCGAGGGGTGAAGGTGGGTGGAGAAAAGTGGAAGTGGTGGTCTGGAGGTGGTTTCTGCTGAGGGTTTTTGGGGAGAATTCCAGCAGGCAGAGGTGAGACCCAACCGTTCACCCACCGAAATCCAGGGGACCTCCCGCAGGGAAGAGGTGGAGGAGGAGGAGTGAGGTCCTGAGGTGGGTGGCGCTTGAAGGTCACGGCTTGAGGCCGGAGCGTCGCGAGTCGGCGGCTCCGGTCGGGAGGACCCCAAAGTCTAGAAGAAAAAGTGGGAAAACCATCAGATGTTTCTCCTGAAAGGGGACATCTGAGCCACCCGAACGCTTCCGGTGGTCCACAGAGAGCTGTGGCTACCAAAGGTGGTCCCAAAAAGTGTCCTCCTCGGGTGGAGATGGGCATGGCACAAGTGGTTGGGTTGGAGGAGATCTTGAAGATCACCGAGTCCAACCAGGTCACCACCACCACATCTCCAGGGCTTGGAAAGCCCTCCAGGGGTGGGGACTCCACCACTGCCCTGGGCAACCATCTGGAGGAAGGATGTTCCTCAAGGTCCAACCTCAAGCTCCCCTCCTCCCCGAGGCAACCTGAGGTTGGTTCCTCTCGCCCCATCGGTCCCATTTTGGGGGAAATTGGTCCCTTTTTGGTGAAGCAGCTGACTCACCTGTAGGACCTTGGCTCCTCGAGGGCCTTGTGGGTTTCTGACAGCCCTTGGTGAGGGTTGGTGGGAGCTGCTCCGCCGTGACTCGGGTCATTTCAAGAGGTCCTTCAAGAGTCCCCTCAAGCCAAGAAGCTCTGAGCGCAGTTGAGGTGGCTGTGGTCTTCTCCAGGTGGGAAGGGTGATGGGTGGGATTTGCTTCTGCAAACACAAGTGTTACCAGAGAGTCACAGCATCACGGCCTGCTTTGGGTGGGGAGGGACCTTCCGAGGTCATCTAGTCCAGGGTCCATCTGCAACCAGAGCAGGTCGCTCACAGCCCCCTTCCAAACCTCACCTGGGATGGTTCCAGAGAGATCCACCACGGATCCATCGACCACCTCTCTGGGCAACCCGGGCCAAGGCCTCACCACCCTCATCCTCCAAAATCTCCTTCTTCATCCAACTCTTTTCATTTCAAACCGTCAACCCTGTCCCAACCCCAAGGGGCAGGACGCTTGGCTTTGGTGAACCTCATGAGATCCACGTGATCCCACCTCTCCCAGGCCCTTGACGCCACAACCCGTGAGGTCCTCCGAGCCCTCCAGCCCCAAGTTCTGCTCCTCGGTGGTGGGGCCTCACCCCCACGTCGCCAAATCCTCCTGGTGGCCTCCTCCAAAGTTCTCCCAGCGTGATAAAAAAAAAAAAAAACAACCCCAGGAGCCATTTCCCATCGTCCTTCTTCCTGGGATGACAATTTTGGGGTTTTTTTGGAGACACACGGACCCGGGCGGGAAGAAAATTTGGGAATTTTGAGGCATAAATAATATAAAAATGGGAAAGATCTTGGGGGGTTTTTTTTTTGTTATTTTTTTTTCCAAACTGAGATACATTCACCTGACACTACTACCAACAAAATAAATAGTGACTCTCTCGGGGAGAAGGACCATCCCTCCATCACTCCTTTGCAGCAGCTCCACGCCCGGCCTCCCACGCCGGTGGCTCCCTCAGGTCTCCTGCAGCTGGAGCTGCCCGAGGTCCCCGGAGCTCTGGAAGGTGACTCCAGGTGAAGTCCGCCCGGGTTTCTCCTTTGGGATGGGCTGGAGGAGAAGGGGGCTCCAGCTCAAAAGGGGGGTTGATGTTTCTGAAGGTTGGTGGTTGTCGCCTGGAAAGGAAGAGGAGGAGGAGGAGGAAGGGTTGGAGGGTTGGGGTGGAAGTAGATCGTCGTCAAATCTCACCGTGAGGAAGGTTGGGAGGGACCTCTGGAGGTCAGTCTGGTCCATCCAACCCCTCCTGCATCCTCGGCAGGGTGCCCAGGAGCCCATCCAGGTGGGTTTGGAAGCTCTCCAGAGAAGGAGACTCCACAAACTGAGGAGAGAAGTTTCTCCTCCTGCTCAGGTGGAACCTCCTGGGTTCCAGTTTGGGCCTCCTGCCCCACCACCAGGAACCACTTGACATGTCTGGAGCCATCTCCATGTCCTCCACCCTTTAGATCTTCACCAGCACTGATCAGATCCCCTCTGAGGCTTCTCCTCTCCAGCTGAACAGCCCCAGGGCTCTCACCCTCCCCTCCCCCCAGAGATGCTCCAGTCCCACCAGCATCTCCAGAGCCTCCACTGGACTCTCTCCAGTAGCTCCTTGTCTCTCTTGACCTTGGGGGTCCACAACTGGACCAAATACTCCAGAGGTGGTCAGAGCAGAAGGGCAGAACCTCCTTCAACCTGCTGCCCACACTTCTTCCTGCACCCCAGGAGACCATTGGCCTCCTTGGCCATGAGGGCCCACTGCTGGCTCATGGGCAACTTGGTGTCCACCAGCACTCCCGGGTCCTTCCCTGAGCAGGACACCCCTCCCTTCTCCTGCTCCATGGGGTTCCTCCTCCCCAGGGGCAGGACCCAACACTCAGCCTTGTTGAACCTCACGAGGTTCACACAGTCCCATTTCTTGACCTTGTCCAGGTCCCTCTGGCTGGGTCCTGTCCCTCAGGTGTGTTGGCCACACCACTCACCTTGGTGTCATCTTCAAACTGCTTGAGGGTGCCTTCATCCTACTGATGAAGACATTAAGACCCCTGAGGGACACCAATGAGACACTGAACCATGGACCAACCAACCACATCCTCCTCCACCAAGCCCACCCATCAAATCCACACCTCTCCAACTCAGAAGGATTTTGGTGAGGACCAAGCTCCTCAACCTTCCTCCACAAGCCACATCTTCTGTGGGCTTCATTAGAAGCTTCTCTGCAACTAACCAACCCCCCTACAGAAGACCCCCCCCAGCTTCAGACCCTCTCCAGGAGCTCTTACCATCCACGTCATCCATGGAGAGCCTGTTCCTGCCTTCTCCACAGCAGAGATGTTGGCTGGAGGTCTGCTCCACGTCCTCCTTGCCGTCCACCTCCACCCCGAGGCCGCACTGCGGGCTGCTGGAGGCCAAGCACATGGCCACCATGACGTGGGGGTTGAGAGGTTTCATCTCCAGACCATCCTGGGGATAAGGTGCAACGATGGGCACGACGGGGAGCGAGCTGCCACCGAAGGTCCCGTTGGTTTTGGTGAAACACCTGCAGGTGGGACACAACCCAAGGTGGAGTTAGTGGGACTTGTTTCTTCAGTTCACCCCGAGAAACTTCAGTTCTTCAAGCACCTGACCACCACCACAACAGTTGGACAACTTGCCAAGTCCGTTCTCCTTCTGGTTTTGGAGCAACCCTGACCTTAAAAAGAAACCCCAAGGATGGACCATTAAAGCCTGAGAAGATCAGAGATAAGTTGTGGAGAAGGTTCTTCTGTACACTTGCCAGAAGCTGCCCCCAAAACCACCCCTGGTTCTGTGGTGAGATGGTTCTGCAGGTGTTGGAGTAAGGATGGGGAGGGTTCCAAGCCACCAGTGATGTCCCAAAATGGGCATCAGCAGGGTTGCTGGTGGACAGCTGGGTGGAGATGAACCAACGTGGGCCCAGGTGGCCAAGGAGGCCACCAGCAGTGGCCAGCAGGAGCAAGGAAGGGATTGTGCCCCTGGATTGGGCACTGGGGAGGCCACAGCTTGAGGGCTGAGGTAAATTTGGGGCACCACAGGATAATAAAGACCTTGAGGGGCTTCCAGAGAAGGGCAACGAAGCTGGTGAAGGATCTGAGGAACATGTCTGATGAGGAGTGGCTGAGGGACCTGGGGTTGGTTAGTCTGGAGAAGAGGAGGCTGAGGGGAGACCTCCTTGTGCTCTCCAGCTCCTCGAGAAGAGGTTGGATTGAGGTGGGGGTTGGTCTCTTCTCCTGAGGAACCAGTGATAGGATGAGAGGAGATGGGCAGAAGCTGCACCAGGGGAGGTTCAGGTTGGATTTTAGGAAGGAACTCTTTCCTGAAAGAGCAGGGAGACACTGGCCCAGGGAGGTGGTGGAGTCCCCATCCCTGGAGGGCTCCAAAAACCACGTAGATGTGGCACCTGGGACCACAGATTAGTGGCCATGAGAGCGTTGGGTTGGTGGTTGGACTTGATGACCTTGGAGATCTTTCCCAACCTTCATGGTTCTACAAAATGCTCCCGTGGAGCCCAAAAGGGCCTCGAGGTTTTTGGGACGTTGACTTTGACACAAGTCCAAGTGTTTTGTGGTGGGCTTTGCTGCCAGCTTGAAATACACCCATGGAGAGCCTCACACCCTTCACTCCTGGATGGTGGAGCTGCAAAAAGACCCAAACACCCACAAATAAACCTTCTAGAGGAGGAACAGGAGCAACCAGATGTTTCCTTGGCCAAGCCAAGACGTGGGGACAAGGGGAGATCCCTCCAGCAACCGCTCCTCTCCCAGGTGTTTCCCTTCCAACCTCTCCTCTCCTCTTTGGTCCTTCAGCTCCCATGAAGTGCCTCCAAAAAAAATCACCATCCCAAGTAGCAAAATACCACAGAAGCCACTGAAGAATCCACAGGAATCCACGCTGGCCCTCAAACAAATCCATTTCTGACCCTGCCTTTCTCTCCATGGAGCTTTGCTCCAAAATCCTTGGAAGTTTTCGTGCAGAAACCTCCCCAAAATTAAGAAGAATGTTTCTCAGACCTCAGCCACCCTCGGCTGTCCTCCAGAGCAAAGTGGGGGTAGATGTTTCACAAGTCCCACCTCTGGCAAAGCTCCATGGGCAGCCTTGGAGAACATCAAGTGCTGAGCTGAAGTGAAGATGTTGGGTCTTCACCGCTGGCGTAACAACCCCTCAGAGTGGTCCTGCTGATGGTGGCCGTGGTAGGTGGGTAGTAAAGCCCTGAAGATCCCCTTGGACGTGGTCATGAGTCCACCAGCAGCTCAACTTGACCTAGATACCAGCCACAACTGCAGGGGCCTGGTGGAAATTTGGGAACTGGCCGTGCTGAGGTGGAGCTGAGCCACGTGCACCTGAAATGTTCATGAGCTGAGGTGTCTCCACTCCACCTGACCTCCTGGTGTCATCACCTGGGGGTTCTGCAGAGACAGCTCCTGGGTTTAGCCCAGGAGGTGGGATAATCTGAAGGTGGGACAAGTTATGGGGCAGCAGATGGAGGGGCCAACCCTAGGAGGTTGAACAAAGACTCCAGCCCCAAATTCCCACTTGCCAAAAGCCATTGACTTGACTCAACTAACCCACCAGGCCTTTCTCCTCCTCCTGGTGCAACACTCGAGCACGTTTCTGCTCCACCTCAACTTCTCCATGCCTAAAGGCAGCTGAGGACTTCAATAAGACTCAAAATTCCAAGTGGGATTGAAAGCCAATCCAGAATTGAGGAGTGAGAGCAGCCAACTGACCCTCAGTCCTACCTGTAGTCACTAAAACAACCAGAGATTTAGTCAGAAGCCTGGAAGGAGGTTCTCGAGAACTTTCAAGAGTGGGGAGGAAGCCACTAAAAATCCACACTTTGAAGGAAACCAAGAGATTTTCCCCTTATTCTAGACAAGAATCCTTCTTCTCCACCAAAAAACTGTATCCCACGTTGACAATGGTTGGCCAAGGTGCTCCTGAAGACCTGAAGAACCTAACTGTAGATGCAGCACTTGAGACTTAGTGGTTAGGGAGATGTTGGGATGAAGGTTGGGCTTGATGATCCTAGAGGTCCTTTCCGACCAGAGTGATTCTGTGATTCTATGAAATTCCCCAAATTAATGAAGAAGACAAAAGCTGAAGCTCTGGTTCATCAGTGAGCTTCAGAGAACGTCAGGAAATGGGAAAGAGAGAAGCCCAATTCAATCCAGTTTGACCAAGTCCACCTGGAATGAGGGAGTTGTCTCCAAACTGAAGGAAAACCAGGAAATGAGGTTTCAAAATGAATCCAGTGCCCAACCCACCTCGTTTCCCAGAAGAACATGTTGAGCAAAACCACCCCTCAGGTGGTGGAGGCCCCATCCCAGGTTTGATGGGACCCTGAGCAACCTGGCCTAGGTTGGCCAACTAGACATTGGGAGGTTCAGATGACCTTTAAAGGTCGCTTCCAACCCAAACCAGGCTGTGATTCCATGATCCCACAGACAATTCCAGGTCTGGTCATGGCATGGAGCTTCTCCAACACCTCAACCCAACCATGGAGCTCTGGTGCCAGCCCTAAGGGGGTGACAGGAGAGCTGCTGGTCACCAAGGTCCTGCCTTGGTGCATGTTCACCATCACCTGTTGTTGTTCCTGCAGTTCCTGCAGCTGATGCACTCTGGGGGGTCAGCCACGTACATCCCACCACCCTGCAGTGAGAAGAATTCATTAAAACCAACCAAAGCCACCCAAAAAAACCCCCAAAAATCCATTATTTGAACATTTCTTGACCATTTGATGTTTTTTTTTTTAATCTGCTCTTGGAGGTGGTGGCATCAACCTGCAAAGTTCTTACCCACCACCCCTGCTGGCCCAGGTTGTCCAGGTGGAGTCCCCACCCCTGGAGGGGTTTCCAAGCTGTGGAGATGTGGTGCTGAGGGACATGGGTTAGTGGGACAGTGGTTGGACTTGATGACCTTCAAGGTCTCTTCCCACCAAAATGACTCTGTGCTTCTATTCTATGATTCCATGGTCCCTGTTTCTGCTAACATGGGGCTCCTCTAACTCCACCACCACCTCCCTGGGGTGGAGGGGAAGCCTGGTCTGATCCTTCCCCACTCTCAGGTCCAAAAAAACCTCTGTTTGGACCTTGAGCAACCAAACCTCATCTTCTCCATGAGCAGAACAAAGGGAAAATTTGGTGAAGAACCAGCTGGAGTCTACATGCTGTGTAGAAGACATTCCCAGAGTCCATGGTGTCATCTCCATGAAAACCAGGATGGTTGGGACCAGAAATATCAACCCCATTGCTTCCTCTGGGAGAAGGAATGTGGTGGAACTGGTTGTCAGCAGTGGATAGTTCCCCCACCCCAATTAACTCCCTGTCTACGACCTCTGGGGTTGGGCAGCCTGGAGGAGAAAAAGCTCTGAGGAGACCTTCTGGTGGCCTTCAGGATTCCAAGGGTCCTGTCAGAAAGCAGGTGGCAGAGTTTTGAGCAGTGTTTGTTGGAACAGGACAAGGGGGGATGGGTTGAAACTCCAAGAGGGAGATTGAGACTAGAGGGAAGGAAGACATTTTTGAGCTGAGGGTGGTCCCAGGTTGCCCAGAGGGGTGGTCAACACCCCATCTCTGGAGACATTCAAGATCAGGCTTGATGGAGCTCTAAGCAACCTGCTCTAGTTGCAGATGTCCCCCTTGGAACCATTCCAGGTGAGGTTGGATGGAGCTTTGAGCAACCTGCTCTGGTCTAGATGACCTTGGAAGGTCCCTTCCCACCCAAACCAGCCAACGAATCCATCCAATTCCAACTCCCAAGGTGCAGGAGCAAGAACTTACGTTCAGATGGTGGTGGGGATGTTCATAGTCCACGTGTGCCCTGGACAGGGAGCTGCTGTGCCCAGGGTAGAGCCCAGCTCCTCCATTCATGATCCCATTGACTCCATTGCCAACTTTATGGTGGATGTGGGGGCAACCATTGCTGAGGCCACCGTTGGTCAGGAAGCTCCCGTGGATGCTGCCGTTGACTCTGCTGGTGCCAGGCAAGGTCGTGTACTCAACCAGCTGCCCGTTGATGTCCTCCCCTTGGTAGAGGTAGCCAGGAGGGTCATACTCTGCAAAAAGCAGAAGGTGAACCCAAGAAAGGAGAAGAAACTTGTTTCCTCTTTCTACAGCTTTTGGAAGTGGGCCCAGAAGGCTTTGGTGGGTACAGAGCACCCTGGAAAGCGTCATCTCCAGTGGGTCTGCTGGAGGTTCCTCCTGGCCAACTGGCAGCTCTGCCTTATTAACACCTCTCCAACCCAGCACTGCCAGGTCCCCACCAACCCATGTCCCTCACCCCACATCTCCATGGCTTGGGAACCCCTCCAGGGGTGGGGACTCCACCACTGCCCTGGGCAAACATCTAGAGGAAGATGTTCCTCAGGGCCAACCTCACCTCCCCTGGGGCAAACTGAGGCTGGCTCCTCTTGTCCTTGTTCCTTGGGAGCAGAGCCCGACCCCCACCCAGCTCCAACCTCCTGTCAGGAGCTGTGGAGAGCCAGAAGGTCTCCCCTGAGCCTCCTTGGCTGAACCCCCCCAGGTCCCTCATAAGACTCATGCTCCAGACCCCTCAAACCCAAGCTGAAGAAGCTTTGCCCAGGCATGTCACAAACCACCCCTCGGGTGGAACAGCAGCACAACCACGCAGTGGAGCATCAAGGCAACCAAAGCAGCTGTTGCTGCTCCTCAAAAACCCCCCCCAGCTCCATCTAAGGTGCACTCAGCAAGCAGAACCCTCCAAAGAAAATGCCACCTGGGCTCCTTCTCCTCCACAAAGGCCAAGAAGAAGGTTGGGGGTGTTACCCTGAGAAGGTTTTCCTCACGGAACCCAGAGGGACTCACTGTGCAGAACGTTCTGCTGGCGGTTCTTCCACAGGCACATGGCGATGAAGACGATGAGGATGAGGACCATGACTCCCAGGACACAGCCCACGATCAGGTAGAGCATGTCCCCGCTCCGGACGGGGCCGGTGGAAGGTCCACCTCCACTCCCCAGCCTGTCAGGAGGGTTGGGTGGAGTGCTCAGGTCCTTGGTCGGGTATTCGGACGCGCCCGGCGTCCGTTTCACTGGGGAAGGAAGAAGGTTGGGTAGAGGAGCTGTGGTAGGACAAGAGGCAACGGCCTGGAGGTGCTCCAAGGGTGGGTCAGAGGGACACGAGGAAGAATTTTTTTCACTGGAAGGGTGGTCAGGTGTTGGAACGTGTTGCCCAAGGAGGTGGTGGTGGAGTCACCAGCCCTGGAGGTGCTCAAAGCTGTGGAGATGTGGTGCTTGGAGATAGGGCTCAGAGGTGGACTTGGTAGGGCTAATGGTTGGACTCAATGATCTTTGAGGTCTTTCCAACCAAGTGATTCCATGAACAAGAACATTCATGAATGGGCTTCATGAATGAAGCCAAAATCATTACTGCTGAGTTCCAACCCTCAGAGAGAAACCTTCCAAGCCAACACCAAAAGCCACAACAAGAAGAACATCTGCTCTTGAGCAGCAACCACTTGCCTTGGAAAATGGCCATTACCCAGCTCATGAACCTGCTCACTGAGGTCACCCAACGTGGAATGAGGGACTTGAGGCACTGTGCCCTCTCCTAATTTGGAGGAGGAAGACCAACCACATCTGCTGCCTGAAGCCCTGCAGCTCCCAACCCTTCTCTCAAAGGCTTTGCTCCTAAATTTTGATGCTTCCACTCCTAGAGGGCTGGGGATTTTTTTAAAGAAAACCCCATTTTGGATACCTTTGAAGTTCACTGTCTGCATTTCTCTGTGTCTCAGAGCCCTGAAGACATAAAGCAGATGTCCACACCAATGCTGTTGAGAGGCTATCAGAACAACCAACCACCCAACCCACAGCAACAAAACTCTCTGGACCAGGTGGTGGGGTCTCCCTCCCTTGGGGGCTCCAAAAAAGGTGCAGATGTGGCACTTGGGGCTGTGGTTTAATGGCCATGGGAGTGTTGGGTTGATGGTTGGACTTGATGATCTTGGGGGTCTTTTCCAACCTGGATGATTCTCAGGCCAGGGAAATCTGCAGGGCTGGACCAAGAGCGTGAGCTCTCCGCTCCCACCTGCTCCAAACTTCTTCAGGAGACAAAACAAACCTCCCAAACATCTCAGAACATCACAGTCTCCACACAGTTGGCTTTTTGGAGCTACAAAAGCCCCCCAGAGGAGGTGTTTTGGTGCCCTGGAGCTCACCTTTGGTCTCACAGATCATGACGTTGCTGTACTCGCTCTCCCCCCCCTCGTTGTAGCATTGCATCTTGATGTCATAAGAAGTCTCTGGCTGGAGGTGGTTGATCAGGTGCCACTGCTTGGTGCCTACAAGGGGGAGGACAAAGAGACTGAGGGGCTTGCAGCTCCTCACACCAGCCAGGAGTAGGTCCCAGCTTATCAGTCATCATTTATGGACCTGGCAAAATCCCCAGACCCCCCTTGGCATGTAAAAGAGCTTCTCAGAAGAGCTTTTTCATGACTAAAAGTTGGGTTTTTTTCAGTCTTCTCAATAGTTTTTCCATCTCCACGAACCCCAGAAATCCCTAAACTCAAAATAACTCCAGACATCCAATTCTCCAGCATCTGCCTCTTTAAAATGAACAGCTCCGAGCTGGAGGACACTGCTGATGGGAGAGCTGCTTAAAACACACAGGGAAAAAAAAAAACCACCTCAAACAGGTCAAAAATGACACAAACCCCAACTTAAAGTGTGTGTGGGGGGGAAAAACACCCCCTGGATGAGACCTTCTGCCTGTTTGTGGACTCCTCCCAGCCGTGAGGCACAGACCTGGGCTGGGTTTGTCATCTCTGGCTCCCAGCCAGCGTTTCATTTAGACACCCTCCTGAAGCCCTGAGAGCTGGGGGATAAATCACTCTCAGTTTTTACTTCTGTGGGCTCCTGACAAATTTTAATAAACAGCCAGGCTTTTTTTTTTTAATTTTCTTTTTTTTTTTTCTTCCCCCCAAGAAGTTTAATTAACTGTTTGAGGGCTCTTAATCCCTCTTGGAAAATACCACCTTGAACTGTTTCCACTGTTTCTAAGAAACTGTCATAGCACCTCCTGATTTAAGCATGAAGAATAAAAATAAAGCCTCCTCACCCTGTGACTGTTCCAACCCCTCCAGCCAAAAAACCCAAAAAGGGGCAGGAGCACCCACAGGGACCCCTCCCCATCCCCCCCTCTGTGTCCCAAGAGAGGGTGGACGACCCCAGGTTGAAGCCCCCCCCTCCCCCAAGCATTCCTTTTGGTAATTACGACAGGTTTTAGGTTTCTCCTTCAAACCATTAGTGGGGCTGGAATCAGCAGAGGCACTCCAACTGTCCTCTCCTTGCACCATGAGGGAGGAAAAACGTTTCAACAACTGCCACCAGGCTCCACTGACATTTCAAACCCTGCTTCCACCTCCAGGAGCCTCAGATGCCCCCCCTCCCCCAAGCATTCCTTTTGGTAATTACGACAGGTTTTAGGTTTCTCCTTCAAACCATTAGTGGGGCTGGAATCAGCAGAGGCACTCCAACTGTCCTCTCCTTGCACCATGAGGGAGGAAAAACGTTTCAACAACTGCCACCAGGCTCCACTGACATTTCAAACCCTGCTTCCACCTCCAGGAGCCTCAGATGAAGATATTCAGACCATCAAAGCAGGGCAGGGTTTTGATTTTGCTCCTAGGAGCCATCCCAGAGAAGGGTTTTTGCTTGATTTGGGGTTTAAATAAAATGGGATTTTGCCCCTAGCTGGGTTTAGAAGGAAAGTGAAGGGGGGGGGAGGAAAAAAATGAGTTTTTTTAGCAGGGTTTTGAATGTCTCCAAAGACAAGACTTAACAGGAAACGAGTGAGGAAAGCCTAAGGCAAGTGCTTAGCTAATGCAGGCATCACACCATTTTTTCCACAACTCCTGCAGTCATTTCAAGATAAAATTCCCTGTCAAAAAACAGACAGATTAATTCCAAAGAAGGAAGGGGGGGGGGGAAAGAAACAAGGAATAAGTGATTTATGGCAAAACCACCTTAAGCCCCATGTTCCTCTACATATTTCCCTGTGAACGTTTCCAATCACACTTGAATTGAATTTCCCCCCCCCCACCATCACCTTTGAAAAGCTGATTTAGGGGAGAAGGGGGCAAAAAAAGTTGAACTATTTCCACCTCCTGAGTTTCTGCTCCTGGTTTGAACAGACACAGAGGGTTGGAGTTAAAATAAAGCTCCAAACCCCCCCAAATCAGCTCATTTTGCAGCTCTGCTACAAGGCTGCACCTTCATCTGGAAACAGCTTTGCTCCTGTTATAGAAAAATTGCCCAAACTTGGTGTTTTTAACAGCTTTAGTGTGCAAAAAAAAACCCCTGTTGCCCAGCAAAGCAAAGGGAAAAGTTTCAAAATAAAGGCTCATTCCTCTTGTAACTGGCTTAAAATTGGGGGGTGGGGGGGGAAATAATGAATGTGATGAGGACAGAATGAGCTCACTGAATTTCCTCAGCCTGAGCAAGAGGTTGAGTGTTTTTAAAAGGGGTTTCTGCTTAAAGAGACGTTAGCTAATAACTTCTTCCAGGAAAAGGATGATGTCATATGCACGAGGAGGGGAGGTGGGGGGGGAAAAGAACCTGATTAAAAGGTAAAATGAAGCACAAGCAGCTTATTTGGAGCTAAAAGTGACTTCTTTATAGCAGGGGCAGTGAGTAAGTGGGTAAGAGGAGAGGGAGGTGATTACACACAGGGTGGAAAATCCACACTGGGGTAAATCACCTCAAAAATCCACTTAGTTCTGGGTCCAGATGGGCCTCCTGTGAGCTAAACCTCACCTAGGCTGCTGTTTCTGCTCAACTGCTTGAAAGAACCCAAGTGAAGGATCTGCAGCAGTAAGAGACAAACTCCAACCTCGTGTTTAAATCCTCAAGTTGCCACCTAGAAGAAGCTTCAGAAGGGAGAGCCAAGCTCACGTGGGAGCAGAACCCAACCCTGAGTAGCTGTGAGGGTTAATTCTGTGAGGTATTGGGTCAGGATTTCAACTGGGAGAAAGCAGGGGAGGGTTTGGGGGCTACAAACAACCAACGTGGTCGCCCTCGAGGGCGAGGGGTGGCAGGGTGCTGGTGGGGACCACCTCCTACCTTCCACAATGTCCCTCTTGTAGTCGCTGTCGTTGTCACTGTCCGTGGGCCTGTAGTAGATGTAGAACCCTTGGATGGGAGTGTTGTTGTTGCTGGAGGTGATGTACTGCCAAGAAAAATTCCCAAAGAGTGAGTTAGAGGAGGAAAATCCTCACCCGGCCCCGCTCAGTTGTCACCAGCAAATATCTGGTCGCCTGGAAATAGTTTTTCTTAATTTCTAAATAACATTGTGGAAGCAAAGCACAAGGAGGGGAGAGGTTTGTGCAGAAACCTCCCCAAAAAAGAGGGAAAAAGGAGGGAAAAGAGATGGACACCTCCCTCCCCCGTTGCTTTCCAAACCCTCAGTCTGCCCACCAGGAGCCGAGTCGAACGGTGACAGCGAAGTTCAGACCCCTTCTGACTTCCCAAAGAGTTTAAGGTCCCTCTAAAATCCAGCTCGAGGGTATTTTCCTTGAAGTTCTGCAGCCTCCCGAGGTTATTTGAAGTTTATTATCCTTAACATCTCTCCAGGCTGAGCAAACTTAACACTGGGGAGCTCGGCACGTTAAATCCTCTAAAGTACACCCAGGGGTTGGGTTTCAAAACAGGAGGGAAGAATTTCTGTGGGCTGGCAGTAAGGGCTTGGAAGTGCTTGTTTAGAAAAGAAGAGGTACCAGGGGGAAGGAAAAAAAAAACCCACCCCAAATCCCTTTCTCTACCACAAAGCTTCTCCTGGAGGTGAGGGGAAGTGGTGGGTTTTAAAGGGTTTTTGAAGATCCCTTCCAGTCCTTGGGATTCCAAACTCAAAATTCAAGGAGTCAAAATTCAGGGGATGACATTCAAGGAGTCAAAATTCAGGGGATGAAGCCGAGCTGCTCACAGCCAGAGGGGTTGGGATGGAGTTAAGTTCACTGTGCCAAAGGAGGTGGACTAAGGTGGTCGTAGCCCCTGGCTGGAGCTGCCACCAGTTGGGTTCCCAGCTGGTGGGCAACCAGAGGAGGTGTCCCCGGGGGAGAGGGGGCTGGAGAAACAACCCATGGGGTTGCACCGAGCCACAGGGTGTTGAGGAGGAGGAAAAAAGAGGTTGGGAAAGAAAAAAAGGGGGTTGAGAGGCACGTGGCTCATGAAGTGCCCTCGTTCCACCACCCCAGCACCAAGTATCTCAGCCACCTTCCAGCAAGGAGCTCCTCCGGGGGCGGAAACCACCTCGGGCTCCTCTTTGAAACAATTCCCCTGGGAAGCACTGCCCGAAGCAGGAAAACCTGGAGACCCACCGTCCATTTCAGCATGATCTGGGTGTCACTGATGGCCTCGGTGTAGGCGATGTGAGGTCCTGCCACTGGCCTGCTGGAGAAGCGGCCGCTCAAGCCGGCCACCTGGTAGGGGCGGGAGGCGGCGCTGCGGGGGCTCTCCCCGTAGGTGTTGATGGCAATCACACGGAATTTATACAGCTCTCCTTGGAAAGGAAGGGAAAGAACCTCAGGGAAAGGCTGGAGAGGGAGCTAAAGGAGCTCCAGAAGGAGTTGAAGGTAGAGGGTGAAGGGATTGAGGAGCGTTTTTCCTGCTAGGAGTAGGAGTCGCTGCCAGAAATGAAGGCGGGTGTTGGAAGGAGAAACAGCTCGGAGGGAAATTGGCCCCAAAAAATCCAAAGGACCCCACACCCAGAGCTGGACAGGCCTCCAGCAGCTCCAGAAGTCCTGAATACTAGTGGGCACCAAGGAGGTTTCTCACTGACAACAGTGAGGCATTGGGAAGTGCTGCCCAGGGAGGTGGGTGGTGGAGTCCCCGTCCCTTGAGGGCTTCAAAACCTGCGTGGATGTGGCACTTGGGGCGTGGTTTAATGGTCATGGGAGAGTTGGGTTGATGGTTGGACTTGATCTTGGAGGTCTTTCCCAACCTTAATGATTCTAAGATGTTTCAAAGGGTACCCATCATCACAAGCTCTTACTCCCCCCCCTAAAAAAAACCCCAAAATTGACCAGAAAGGGCCTCATCCAAACTGAAATGAAAATAAGATGACCCAAGAGTCCTCGTGGAAATGAAAATAAAATGGCCCAAGAGTCCTCGTGTCCTTTCGGCAGGGGCTCGGCCCTCTCCACAAAGCCAAGACGAGACGCTTATGGGGATGGAGAGAGGATTTTGGGGGGTTTTTTGGCCTACCTGGCCCCAGGTTCCGAACCTCCACGGAGAGTTTGGAAGGAGAGATGTTGTCGGCGGCCACCAGCCAGTCGCCGTTGCGGCCCAGGCGCTTGGACTCCACCTTGAAGGCAGTGATGGGGGACCCCCCGTTGGCCCGGGGGATCCACGTGACGTAGACGGAGGACTCGGAGGCCGTGGAGATGGTGGGTCTGTTGGCCTACCTGGCCCCAGGTTCCGAACCTCCACGGAGAGTTTGGAAGGAGAGATGTTGTCGGCGGCCACCAGCCAGTCGCCGTTGCGGCCCAGGCGCTTGGACTCCACCTTGAAGGCAGTGATGGGGGACCCCCCGTTGGCCCGGGGGATCCACGTGACGTAGACGGAGGACTCGGAGGCCGTGGAGATGGTGGGTCTGTCTGGAGCTTCTGGAACTGAGAGGAGAAAGCCAGTCAGCAGATTGGTGTCAACCAGAGGTTGGTGTCTGGTGGTGGCCAAGTGGACGGGTTGCTGAGGATTGGAGTTGAGGAGGAGGGTTTGGAATCCTCCTCTGCTCCTCTTGTTCTCCTGGTGAAGATGCTCAGAAGGTAGAAAAGGGAAGAGTTGATTGGGTTACCAACCTCATCACCCAGGAGGACGTGGTGGCATGCTGCCCCAACCCACCCCTCGGTGGGGACAGAGACACAGCCTCAGTGAAAAGGAGCAAAAACTCCTTCCCAAGACCCCAAAATTCCTCCCAGGCCCAATGAGACTTCAGCCCATCCACGCTACCACCAGAAGAAGGGTGAAGACCCAAGCATGCAGTGAAGGAGACACTTACTGACCTCCCTTGACGTGACAGCAGCAGAGGA